AGAAACCGATCTCTGTGTGAAGCAGCTCGATCGATGCTATGCTTCGCGTCCTTGCCTTTATATCTCTGGGCTGATGCAATTGCTGCTGCTTGTTATACTCAAAACATATCATATTTAAACAAGTGATTCTCCATCACTCCCTACGAGATCTTGAACAATCGTAAACCGAATGTTAAATTCTTTCATCTTTTTGGTTCAAGATGCTTTGTGTTCAACTCCAGAGAGAATCGAAACTAGTTTGATGCTAAGGCTGATGAAGGAATATTCTTAGGTTATTCCCTGAATTCCAAGGCGTATAGGGTTCTCAATAAGTGCTCCAAAAAGATTGAAGAAACATACTATGTCACCTTTGATGATAGTTATGTTAAGAAGATGAAATCAACAGAAGGGGCAACGCAAGAAATCTTTCCAAAGAATGGTCAAGTTACGACCTCTACTTCAAATCTTTTCGAGAAATATTTGCATCTGTTTGATGAGCCTCACAAGGCAATTGACTCTGAATCAACTGCAAAAGACAACAAAGTTAATAATCTAAAACAAATTATCGACGAGGCTGCTCAAAGGATGGCTGATGAACAATCCAAAGAAACCGAAAGGCCAGAAGCAAGCGAACCATCAAGTGAATGTCCTAATGTCCAAGGGAGGGTCCATATCTTCATCATGATCAAGGTTCATCATTCCAGGGGGAGAATCTATCATCTCATTCTTCAAGCTCTTCTGAAAATCCAATCGAAGGAGGTGATACCAACCCAAATTTTGAACAGTCGTCATCCTTCGAGGGGTAGAACACCAATATCAATGATAATGACATTATGTATGAGTTAGAAGAAGAAATTAATGCAGAATATGATCCAACTTATGATCCAAATTACCCACTACTTATCAAATGGACCAAAGATCACCCTTAAAGTCAAATTATCGGGGAATCTTAAGAAAAGGTGTTAACTCGATCTCAAATCAAAGCGAAACAAGTTGCACTCTTTTCACAAGTAGAGTTTTGCATGTTCAACTCCTTTGTCTCCAAAGTTAAACTGAAGACAGTAAACTCTGCACTTGATCATTCAGACTAGGTTCAAGCCATGCAAGATGAGTTAAATGAGTTTGAAGGAAACAAAGTATGACGTCTTATTCCAACTCCAAAGGATGCTTCGATTGTCGGTCTCAAATGGGTATTCAGAAACAAGATGGACCAAGGAGGGGAATGTCATTCGTAAACAAAGCACAGCTGGTGGTCAAAGGCTACTGTCAGGAAGAAGGCATCGATTATGAAGAGACCTTCGCTCCAGTTGCAAGATTAGAGTATGTTCGTATCTTTCTTGCCTATGCAGCTCACAAGAACTTTGAAGTCTATCATATGGACGTCAAATGTGCCTTTCTCAATGGGGAGCTTGAAGAGACTGTGTATGTTGAGAAACCGCTAGGCTTCGTGAATGAAAAGTATCCAGATCATTGTTACGTCCTTGGCAAAGCGGTATATGGCTTAAAACAAGCTCCCAGAGCATGGTATGAAACTCTGACTCGATTCTTAAAAATGTCTAAATTCAAAAAACGTTAGGTTGACCCAACCTTCTTTCGTAAGAGAGAAGGTAACCACCTTATGATAGTCCAAATTTATGTTGATGACATCATCTTTGGCTCCACGAATCCTAGCTTAACAGCTGAATTCAGGAAGTTGATGGAAACTAAATTTGAGATGCGCTCAATGGGTCCAATTAACTTTTTCCCTGGCTTAAACATTAGACAGGGACCCGAAGGCATTTTTATTAATCAGGAGGCATACACCAAGAATCTTTTGGCTAATTTTGGTATGATGGGAGACTCCAAAGTTATAGTGCCAATGGCATTTGGTACAAAGCTAACACCCTCTCTGGAAAAGCCAGCTGCAGATATAACGATCTATCGTCAAATGATCGAGTCTTTGATGTATCTCACCGCTAGTAGACCTGACATCATGTTTTCAGTTTGTTATTGTGCCAGATTTCAAGCTAACCCATGCGAACCTCATCTGGAAGCCGTGAAAAACATCTTTCGCTATCTAAAGCGAACCTCCTCTCTCGGTTTGTGGTATCCAGCCAACTTTGGTTTCTTTGTTCAAGCATTCTCTGATGCTGATTTAGGTGGCAGTGGTTTAGATCGTAAAAGCACCACTGGAGGATGCCAATTTCTAGATGGCTAATTGGTTAGCTAGCAATCGAAGAAACAAACTTGTGTCTCTCTCTCCACTGCAGAAGCTGAATATGTTGCTGCAGCATCATGCACATCTCAAGTGGTATGGATACAAAGTCAGCTTAGGGATTACGGGCTAAACATGAAGAAAATCCCACTATATTGCGACTATGAAAGCGCAATTAGGATTTGTCACAACCCAGTGCAACACTCGAAGACCAAGCATATAGCACTGAGGTATCACTTTATCAAAGATCACGTCGAGGATGGCAACGTAGAAATCCATTTCGTCAGAACGACTGATCAACTCGCTGATATATTCACTAAGGATTTACCTGAAGCAAGTTTCAACAAGATTCTACAAGGCCTAGGAATGATGGAAGCAGAATCAGTGCCCAAATCACCTTCGCTTCAATAAAGGTTAGAAGCGAAATAGATTGAACCGAAATGAACCGACCGTTCGGTCTATTTCGGGTTCGGCTCGACTAAGAATCGAAATGAACCGAACACTCGGTCTATTTCGGGTTCGGTCCTTCTGAACTCATTCGCTTCTTTTTACTTCCAAGGCATTTTGGTTTTATCCTTTTGTACACTCTTATTAATACTTCTTTTTATTCATAAAATCCAAAAAAAAAATTCTCTTTCGTTCAATTAAACAACTCTTACAAAATACAATTTTTTTTATTTAATATTTTTCTTTGTATAAGTGTATTTCTTGATAGTGGAGCTACAACAGGTATATTTCTTTTATTTTATCAAATTAGTTAGGCGTCCCTAGAAGCATGCTGTTGTATGTTGACTAAAGCCTCGAAAGATTTTGAGTGAAGCCTTAGTAACATGATATATACAAATCCTGTTTTCCCAATCCAGGCTGTACTATTCACTCTAATCATGAGCTACCTTACTCTACTCACATTGAGTTTAGAGTTTTTTGCTTGGTCACTCTTTTTCTTTGGAGCAGAGGTACATTCGCTTCTTATACCATCTGCACAATTTTTCTCCATTATACTTCATTTCACCAATATAACCCTTGAGACTCTCAGCATTTACCACTGAAGTTTATGGTTATACCAAATCTATGTTAATGATCTTAGATTCATGCCACTATGTGCTAAGTGAAACCCACAATTCAACACCTATAATGAATTGACGATGAATTATCATATTCAAGATCTTACTTGTTACCTACTAAAATCTCTTTTTATTTTTGAGTGATCTTTTATGAATTTGTCTAAAACCAAGGCTTTTCTTCCCCTAAAGATCTAGTTTAATTTTTTTTTTTGAGATTTTTATACTTTCTTTTGTCACCATAAAAGATATCTTACCTACTTGTTCAACAGATCACAATGATTTCACAAGTATTTCATTCAGTTTCGATCTTATGTCAAGTATCGAAATTATGAATTGAAGCGAAAGTCACCCTTTATAAGCTTCAAAAAGATGCCTTTCAATACTTCTTAAGAAGTTATTGATCGTTATTTAATGGGAAACCAAGCAAACACTTTAATGTCTCTCTTGACTTTGAAGGAAGTGATTCGTGCCCAGAATCCATTGCTGTATGTCTATTTAAGGCATCATAGAGTATCCCAAAACATTTGCTTTATTTCTTTCTCCTTTACACCCTATGCACGGAAATTTTTTAATTTTCCACTCTCTAGTTCTTTTAAGGCTGTTCAATAATGCATAATAGGCAACGACGATTCAAATGGATTTTGGAGTGACGATTGGGATAAACTAGAAGCTGACTCAACGTTTATCTAATCGGTTTGGCGATTTAAAAAAGCGAATTTTATAGAATGGCATGCAAAAAGGAAACATCCTTTCTCTTTCCTGCGTCATCATCGGTATGCCAACTGTTCATCCGTCAAGTCAGGCGCTATTTTTGAAATAATCCAAGATCTCAGCCAGATTTTTCTCTCTCCTCCTTGTACGTATAAAAGGATTTGGAACGGTACTCTTTAACCTTTTATCACTTACCAAACTCTCTCAAAGAACAACGACAATTTCTTTTACTGTTCATCATCTTTTCCAAGCTTTTACAATGGCAGAGTCTTCGTTCGTTCATGATACTTCTGTTCGTCAACCACTTCTCACAATCAAACCCCAACAGAACCTAATCATCGATCTCACTCCAATTTTTCTATGAACCTTATATGCTATATGTTGTTGAGTGTCTCAAATACTCACCTCTTGTCGAAGCGCTGACCAAAGTTGAAGTCGTACCATTGTCATGTCTTTCTCTTGTCTACTCCACTACCTACTACGACAAGGTTCATGAAAGGATTCACTTCGAAATCAACAATGATAAGACCTCTATCTCCAAGCACCGCTTCTGTGCCCTAATTGGTCTTTCTTAAGAACAATCTTTGGTACACCCTGAATCAATCACCACTAGTCAATTATTTTCCATGTTTTATTAGATGGGGTATCCTGAAATCCTCACTACTATAACAAAGTTCAAGAAGTCCTGCATTCCTCCTCAATGGAATGGCTTGTTTATTTTACTGTTCAAAGGACTATCTGAACACAGTGCTGACTCAGATGGGGCGAGCCAGTCTTTTATGACTGTGCTATATGGACTGTATCATGGGATTGATTTGGATTTTGGAACAATCATCTGGCAACAACTGGTACAAAGCTTTGTCTCTTCATCCAGGCATTCTGAGATTTCTTGTGGGTAATTTTGGTCAATCATCACCAACTGGGCAATGGATCGACTACATGTTCCAATCATGGCAAATTCTCTTCTCTGCTCCATCGCTACTTTTCACACCACCAAAATAATTGTCATGAATCCCACCAAATTCTCCTTTATTGGATCTATTCCTAAAGTGATGCTTGCTCGTGTCTCAGCAGCGAGTAACGTATTGCAACAATACAGGAAAACTCCGTCCTCAGGTCCAAGAGAGCTTACGCCAGCCATGGTTCAGTCCATTGAAGAGGATGACAAACTAGCGAAAATGGGCAAGAAAACCGAAACCCAGAAAGAAGCACAAGTTTCCAAACCAACCAAAGGGAAAACCCCTAAGAAGCGAAAGTCTGATAAGGCTGTTACATCACCTACTCAACTTAAGAAGCAGAAGAAGCCCGCTAGGAGGCTTATACTACAATCGTCTAGTGATTCAGATTTTGAGTATGTTCCTCCCCAACATAAGAATGCTCCTCCTTTAGAATCTGAGGGCGAAACCTTTGATGATGAGGCTTCGGGCCGAGGTGATACTCCGCCTCGCTCCCATACCCCAGAACTTCCAATTCGCTCTCACCCTCTATCACCTCCACCTGTAACCATCCCAATATCCATCCCTCCTGTTTTCCCCATCCCCACTATGCAACCTTTCACCTCTATACCCATCCCTACTCCCATATTCACAGAAACTACTACCACCACTACTACCACAGGTGCTCATTCTACCGCCCCCACTCCACCTGTTACAACCGAACCTACAGCCACTACCAAACCCTTATCTCTTACTGAATCAATAGAAACAACCCATGTTCCACGTATTTTAGTCCTTATCGTGTATAGAGTGACGACGATGATGATCAACCTGTTACAAAGCATCATCTCAAGGCAGTGAACGAAAAACTTGATCAACTGCTCTCATCTTCTTCCTCCGGAGCTTACTTTGAAGCTGCTTTAAAGGCCTTGTTCTAATATGTTGTTACATAACACAGTGCCTCACTCTCTGCTGCAGCAAAAGCCACAGTACAAATGAAAACTATGTATTACAAATTTCTAAGCAATCTATCATAACTCCAAAGTAGCAGCTCAAAATTCTGATCATCGAATTATACGATCGAAATCCACCTCTTCGCGATCAGACTCAACATCATTTTCCTTTAAGCTTCCTTTGTTTCTACAAAACATGACAATGTAATTACATTACATCATGTATCAATAATCTCCAAATAGGAACTTAATATAGTTAGATAGTGGACTTACCTCAAGCAGAGTCAAACTTTTTGATTCTACCTTCTCTTAGATCTTTCAGGTAGTTAGAGCAGCTTCATTTCCAATGTCCTTTCAAATGGTAGTAGAAACAAATGGCTTCTTTTGCATTGGCACATGTGACAATCCCAGATCCGACCCTTCTCTTGTGATCAAAGCTTTTGACCATGGCCAATTCCTTTCCTTTAGGAGAAGGAATCATTTTTGGACTATCGATGTCATTGCCTATGTTGATGACAGCTTGGGAAGTAGATCTTCCAATCATGTTAGCTTGATCATTGTGCCAAATCATTGCTCGTTCAGCAGCAATTAGCAAATACGCAAGAGCAATAAGGGTCATGTCATGATCTGTCACATATTAGTCTTTAACGAGCTCACTTTATGACTTGGGAAGTGACTGAAGAACCAAGTCAATATCCAACTTCCTCGAGAAATCAACACCCAACCTTCCCAGCTTGTCAATATGCAGCTTCATATCCAAGACATGAGCACATACAAACTTTCCATCTTGATGTTTCATTGCAAGTAGGGCTTGAGTCACCTTGAACTTTTCAAGTCTTCAAGCTTGTGGGTTAGGGAGAATAATCGGAGGAGGTGGAGGAAGTGAAGTATGATATTGTGGAATATCATCTTCATGTGGAAAGTCTTTTCCAACAGATTCGGGAAGACCATAGTTGTCTGACCTAGACATCTATAAAGGAGAAATTCAAGTTAGTTGATTTAGGTCCTTAATATAACACCCAAAACAAAATATTAGTGTACCGGTTAACCAAACACGCTCCACTAACGATTTAACAAGGTGAAAAGTGTAAATTCATGGATTAGCAACATTTTCAAATTTTTCCTAAAGTACCTAAGATTGGGAATTTAATAAAAGTATAGTTACTTTATATTTATCATTATACTTTTAATAAGGGAGAATTAATGTCCTATCCTACCCGTTCGGCTAACGACCCTCCACCAGTCAAGGAAGCGGTGGGTGAGAGTGGATGCCCATTAAACCACCATTTTATAGTCAGTACCTTATACCCCCTTATAGACCGGTTTCGTAAGACTGGCTTGTCTTATATATATATATATATATATATATATATATATATATATATATATATATATATATATATATATATAATTAAACTTATAATATTATAAAGTATAAGGGTTAAATTTTAACTTTTAAAACTCTAAGATGTGGAATTAAAGTTTCATTAGTGAGACTTTACAAATTTCAAAACTTGAGGATAAGTTCTAAATCTTATCAAAACTCTTTAATTTCATAATTTATGAGTTAATGTTGGGTTTTCTGAAAAAACTCTTGATTTTTCATAACTTGAGGACAACTTATGAAGTTTATAAAAACATTTATGATAAGACTTTTCATGTTCCATAACTTGAGGACAAGTTATGGAACTCATTAAAATATCTAGATCGATTCTAACAAGGAAAAATTATCAAATAGTATTCTACTGCTCTAATCTAACTCATATAGCAAGCCAATTCATATCAAATAATACAAATAATTAACCTATTATCTTAATATTTGACAATTGTCCTTTCATTTTCATAACTTATGAGTTTAATGTCATTTTAATGTATGAGACTTTTCATTTTCTATAACTTGAGGACAAGTTATGGAAGTCATTAAAATCATTTAGATCATTATTTTAATTAATAGAATAATCAAATAATTGATCCATAATCTAGTTAAACCCATAAGGAAAAGATAATTCATATTAACAATTTTCAAGAAATTAGCCTAATCATATAAACTAATACAAATCTTGAAATTATGACAATTATCTTTTAAATGGAAAAGCATGATCATTACCATATCAAAAAACAACTTTCATGGTTCAAAAAACAGTTTGGGGGTAATGATCCTAATCCAATTCTGGCCAAAAACTCACAATTCTGCACATAAGAGCACCAACTCGGCAAGTACATGATCTGGACTCTTCGATTTGGTCCATTATTGGGTGGACTCGTCGAGTCAGCTAGTGGACTCGGCGAGTTCACCAGTCAGAAGGCAAAAAATCGGCTTCTCCAGCTTTGAAAAATTAGCAAGCATAAAATATAATAGAAAACAATCCTAGTCTCTAATACCACTATTGAGTTTTGAGCACTATAACACTCCTATGGTGCACATGCAATCCTAAATGATTTGGATCTATGTTTTCTCTAATTATATGTGCATTTTCAATTTTTCCAAAGCATTGTCCTAACTAGCATACAAATTGTTAGATGAACAATACAACTAGTTAAATGACATACCTTTATGAAGGAATTCTAGTTCTTGGCCTTTGAAGCTTGAGCACCCCAAGTGCGACGCCTATAATGGTTCACAAACACCAATATGAAAGAGAAGGCTTAAAATAATAAGTTGCTTAGCTCACAAAGAAGGTGCAATCGATTTTGGTTCATGAGGGTTTTATTTATAGTGCTAGGGTTACATCTTTGCAAACCCTAATGACCTTCTACATTCTTATGCTCCATGGGTTTAACTATCCATGGATTATTTCATTGGTTTAGCCCATCTACATAATCATGGATCATTGGCCCACACTATAAGAATCATTTATTTACATAATCAATCCCCATACATTTAATTAGTCTATTTTGACCATAAAATTAATTCCAAATTAATTCTTGATCAATACTAAAATAATAATAATACGATTTCATATTAATATAGTATACTTGTAATATATCAATAAATCATAAATAACCTTATTCTCAAACATCCATCCTATCAAATTTCACTCGTGAAGGCAACCCAAAATGACCATGCTACAATCGGGTCAAATATATCACAGTTATAGTTATGGGCTTAGACACCAAATCCAACATTTGAAGTGAGAATTTTATCTTCATGAAGTTCAATTCATTGGCAACATTGTGTCTTGTGCTAGAATCATGGTAGATCCCATAAATATTGAAGTAGTTGTCAAATTGGAACTTACGATGACGTCCACTGAAGTGTGTAGTTTTCTAGGTCTATCCGAATACTACATTCATCTCATTTAACATTTCTCCTGCATTACCATTTCCCTCACAACGTTGACAAAAAAGAAGTAAATATCATTTGTGGACATGATCAAGAAGAAGCGTTTGAAGTTTTGAAAAAGAAATTATGTGAAGCTCTGGTGTTAGCATTTCCCGATGGGACTAAATATTTTATGGTGTATAGTGATGCTTCGGCTAAAGGTCTCGGGTGTGTCTTGATGCAGGTGGTAATGTTATTGCCTATGTTTCCGGGTAACTGAAAGAGGTCGAGACGAGATATACGACATGTGATTTGGAGTTGGCAACGATAGTCTTTTCCTTAAATATTTGAAGACATTACCTGTATGATACGTAATACAAGTTGTACACTGATTATAAGAGTCTACAACATGTGTTCATGAAGGAGGATTTAAATATGAGGCAGTGAAGGTGGTTAGAACTGATAAGTGATTATGTATGCAATATAATTTATTATGTCGGGAAAGCAAATGTGGTATCAGATGCGTTAGGCCGAAAGGCGCTAGAAGTCTGTGTAAGTGGAAGATCAATGAAATTTAAGTTGGTATCCAATCTTTTAGAACATGTTAGAGTTGATCAAGTGGATGCATTGAAACTCGAGAACATCATGGAAGAAAAGTTGTATAAAAGTATAGAGTTTAAAGAGAATGATCGAGGTTTGAAGACGTTTAAGAATAAAGTTTGGGTTCCTACCTTAGGAGATTCTCAAAATATGATTTTAAAGGAAGCATATAGGTCCAAGTATTCCATTCATCCAAGGAATACAAAGACTTATAGTGAGTTGAAATTGATGTATTGGTGGTCTGATATGAAGCCGGCAGTTGAAAAGTTTATATCTGAATGTTTGACTTGTGCTTAGGTCAAGTTCGAGCATCTAGCTTCGTATAGGCAATCAAAGTCTCGTCATATTCCAACATGAAAGTGGGACGAGATCATATTTGATTTTATTATGGGATTGCCAAAGACGATTTCAGGTCACGATGTCATTTGGTTCATTGTTGACCGTCTGACGAAGAGCGCAATATTTTTTGCAATTAAATAGACGACTACTATAGCAAAGTTGGAGAAGTTATATGTTGACGATGTAGTAAGATTTCATGGAGTTACATTGTTGATTGTGTCAGATCATGAAACAAAATTTACCTCTATATTTTGGCATGCATTGCAAGAAGAGCTGGGGACATAGATTCTCATGAGTACAACGTACCATCCCTAAACCGATGGCCAAAGTGGGCGGACAATTTATTACAAGTTATTCTCTAGCTAAGATATGGGAAGAAGGCAAGAGGCGTGACCACAAATATGATGGGTATAATATGCAAAACATATAATTCTTATGTGTGCATGCAACCCTAATACTTGATCTATGTTTTCTGTAACACCGTAAAAATTTGAACAAATTTTCACTTTTGGAAACCATAAAATATCATTTTGCAATCATAAATAAAAACATTGTGTCAACATTGTATCAGTACAAAACCCAAGATCAAAATACATAAACTCCGGTGTGCGTGTGTACGAATCATGTCGGCGCCTTCCCGCGATCATCACTGGTACCTGAAACACATAACACATAACATTGTAAGCATAAATGCTTTGTGAGTTCCC